GCCCTTCCCCTCCCGGCTGCCTCCAGCCATCGGGGCTTTTGTTCTCTCCATGTATTTTCTATTTATGTTGAATTGCTTTTGTCATATATGTATGTGTGTGTATATATATTATATTTTTTAGTTACTTTAAACTATTAGCAAAAATAAACAGCCATGGGGTGGTGGGTATGGGTACCTCAAGCTTGTTCTGTACCCATTTCTGGGCTTTTTCATCCCATTTTCTTGCTAACTCTGCAATGGTTAAATCCCTCCCAGGTTTTCTCCGCTGGGGTTTGCTGCACCTGCAGGAAAATTGGGATTTTTGGGCGGGCTGAGAGCTTTCCCCAGGGTTATTTTCAACATCATAAAAAAATAATGGCATTTTTTTCTCTTTTAGTGATTTTTTTTTTTTTTATTACCACTGACTGCGTGGGGTTGCAAAGGGGGTAATGTCATTGCCATATTCCCCCCCATTTGTTCTTTTAAATAACATTATTAAGAAATAATAATAGTGATAATAAATAGTAGTATTAATAAGAAATGATATTATGGGTGCTTTAGTGAAATGCTGGGTTGCAAAGAGCAGGTTTTAGCCCAAAATAGCAGCAAAAAAAATGAAGTAGCATTTTAAGGGTTTTTTTTTTTCAACAGGTGTTTGCAAAACAGGGCAAGAAATTAAGATCGCTGGGGACAGTGATGTCAAATTCACTGATGTTGTGATTTTTGGGTTACTTTTCAGCCAAAAGAAGGTGGCCCCAGAGCGCTGGCGGGTGGAAAAACTGCTTGGAAAGGGTGGGAGTGGTTTTAATTTGGAGATTTGCAATAAAACGATTTTCCAAATTGTTGGGAATTTTAGAGCTGGAAACACTAACATAGGGGAAAACCCCAATTTTTCTGCTTTTTTTTTCCTTGTTATTTCTGACTCAAATTCTTCTCCCTTCAAATTCCTTTCTGGAGTAGTTTCGCAATGGGTGAACTTTGCAAGCGCTTTGCAAAACATCAAAGAATCAAAATTGGGATGAGCATCAAATTGGGGCGGTTTTTGACAATAAATGAGGCTTTTTCATTTGTTTTTGTGTCTCTCTGCCACAAATCTTTACAAAACAGGCTCTTTTTTTTAGTTTGAGTTCTAGAATTCTGATTTTTTCTGATGTTTTTCCCTTTTTCCCTGCATTTGCACTTCTCACGGCGCGAGCTGGACACGGGATGCATTTTTTCCAGTTCATCAGCGGTGTTGAAAAGGAAAATAAACAGCAAAAGGGCAGCAATTGTTCAGGTTTTGGGTTTTCAGCTGGAATATTTGTGGGATATTTACTCGGAAGAACCATTTCGAGGTGAAAGAGGGAAGCACCGTGTTCGGGAAGAGTTTTTCCCATTAGCTGATGGTTATAGCGAGAATTTATATAAAAAATTAACCACAGAATTGCTTTGAATCTTGAATTTTCCTGGATTTTTTTTTCTGGGAAATCCTTTTTTTTTTTTTCTTTTTTTGGAGACAAAATTTGTATTTTGACTTTTTTCGGGGGGAAGAAACCCCATGTTTTTGCTGTCATTTCATTCGCCACTCGACGAGCTGCCTCTTATTGCCGCCTCCGCTGACTGCGACCACGTCGGAACACCCAATTTGAGGGAATTTTGGAGAAAGTGGGGTAATTTTTCTCTATCAGGATAGTTTTGCTTCTCTGGAGCCCTCATTCCCACAGCTAATTCCTTGGAAAACTGGGAAATAAACCCCTGGGCCGTTAAAACACCAATAAGGCACCGCACCAAGCCACTTAGGGGTGAGGGGGAAAAATAAATTGCAGCAAATATTTGCTGGTTTTATTTTAACTCTTATTTTAAAGGACTGGGATTTGGGGGAAAAAGCATCTTTGCTTTGCTCTGGGGACTGCGCTGCTCTTCAATAATTTGAATTATTTCTATTTTTTGGCCAAGGTGATGGTGGAAAATCATGCAGGTGGTGGAATAAGGCTGGAAAATGTCACTGGGATACGAGGCTGCTGCATGGAGGAATTAATTAATGAGAAATCAGAGGAAAATCTTGGGAAATAGAAGTGAATTTGTATTCTTTCTGCCCCCCTCATCCCTTATAAATAGCACCGGGGTTATTTATAAGGAGGGATTAATGTGGTGGGAATGCGGGGAGGAGCAGGAAGTAAATCCCTGCTGTGATAGTCTGGATTTTTAAAACTTTTTGTTTAAAAAACCTCGTGTATTTAAGAAAAAATAAGAAGGGGGCGGAAGATGCTTCAAGCAGGGAGCACCCCCCGGGCGGGCAGCCCTCGCCGCCAGCTGGGACCTGTCGCTCCGCCGCCGCGCCTAAAAATAAACCAAATAAAGCCAAAATAAGTTGCCGGCTTGGCAACGGCAGCTGGCCCTGCTGTTCGGCCTTTTTTTAGATCGGTTTTTATTTATATTCTTACTCTTGGGAGGGGGTTGGGGGCTGGGTTTGCAGCACCTCTCGGGGGCTTGAAATCCGTATTTCTGAGGATGTTATTGTATCCCTGCGGCCTTTCGGGATCAGGTGGCATCCTTGCGCCCTTCTTGGGTTGATTCTGCATCCTCTTTTCTTCATCCCGGGCTGGTCCAGGAGCATCGCCAGGGGCGAGAAGCTCATTCCCACCCGCTTCATTCTTGGGATGCATTTTGCTTTGTCCCTCAGATAGCAGTTTTGCTGGGAAAAACAGGCAAAAAAACCCAAACCCTAAATTTTTAATTCTTTTAAAATTTCTCATTTCCTAAGAAGGTTTCCCCGTTTCCTGGTAGGCTTCCCCGTTTCCTGAATTTGAAAGTTCTGAATTTGAAAGTTCTTAATCTATTTTTTTTTTTAATTTAATTTAGCAATTAAATGAGAGGTCACAGCAGCTTTTTTTGGAGAGCTGGGATTTCTCCTCGGCAGCAGCTGGAAAAATCACCAGGGCTGGGACACACGGGGCTGGCGGGAGCTGATGTCAACTCTCAAACTGGGCTGTGACCTTCTCCTGCTGCTCCCCTCGCCCAGTGCAGAACCCATCGGGTAACTGGGAGAGCACAGCAAACCAGTAAGCAGACTGGTTTCTGGATAGAAAACCATCGTTTTGCTGGGTTTTTTTCTTCTTTGCCTTTTCTTTTTTCCTTTTTCTTGGAGGCATTACTGCAGAAATATGGATTTATTTTATTTTTCCTTGGCTCCATCGCATCTCCTGGTGGGGTTGGATTATTGTGGGTTTTTGGCTCTGTTGGCATCGTGTCCATAGGGATAAAAACTGGAGCTGGCAAAAGTTTGGAGGAAAGCTATTCAAAAAGCATCCTCAGGTGTATTTTTGCTATTTCTTTCTATTATTATAGCAAATAAATCCCTATTAATGTGTTTATGGAGGCGATGGGCTCATTGCGGAAGTGGCTGGAAGAGGAGATTTGCGGTGGTAATGCAGGTTGAGGAGGGGAAGAGGAGATTTATTGATTAACTTGGATTTTTTTTATGGCTGGGAAAAAGTCGCTGGGGTTTGAGCTCACTGCTTTGGGGGGATTTTGCAGCTGGGGTTGCAGCACCAGCCAGTGATTGCCAGGGGTTTGTCGCTTGTTTTTTGGGGGTAAAGGCAAATCTGAGGGGTGATCCCAGCCCTCAGCTCCTTCCTGCTGTCTTCTGGACCTGCAAATGTTTAACTATGTATATTTAAATACAGAGTAAATATAAATATAGAAGAAAGCCTGTAAATATATACTTGTACATTTCCATTTATATAAAGATAAATCTATAAACACAGATATCTAAGTAGTGTAAATGTATAAATACAAAAATATATAAATATCAGTGCGTGTATGACACAGAAGGAAGCAATAAATAATTTGGGGGAGTGGAGGGGCTCTGTGCATCCCCTGTGCCCCCCTCCTGGGGAAATAGGGTCCAGTCGAGGGGGATCTGGTCACTGGAGGGGTCACGGCTCCTCGGAGTGGGGCGATGACATCCCAGTGCACCAGGCACTGCTTCCAGCAGCCCCAAATTTGTGGAGTTTGGCCCCGTTTTTCCCTCTGTCGCATTGTCCCCAGGGCATGGGGAGGTCCCCAAGCTGGAGAGGGGGTCCCTGTTCCCTCCTTCCTCTTCCTTTCGGTGACCTTTTGCTGGGCGGCTCCAGTTACTGAGCGGATGAGCCATCGATCGCATGGAAGATGCTTGGCGCTTCCCACCCTCCCACACCTCTAACCTTGATGCTGGGAGCTGGATTTGCCATGCACGGGATAAATTTATGATAAATCTGGGATAAGTTTGCTGTGGATGGGGTGGATTTACCATTCGTGGGGGGATTTACAGCGCAAATTGTGACCCAGGAGCAGCTTTTCTCTTTCCTTGCAAGGTTTCACAGTAGCCGGAGCTGGATCCATCACCTCTGGGGGCTCCCCGTGGATTTTGCGGGAGTTATCTCCCCTCTCAACCCGTTTCTTCTCTCCCACAGGAAAGCCTCGGGGAAGGGCGCAGCCGGAGCATCCCGCACCCCTGTGCCATGGCGTCCTCCGAGCTGCCCCCCCACCCTGCAGTAGGTACTGTCAACCTGTCGGGGGTTTTTTTTGGGGGGAGGGGGGGACACGACACGACACCCAGCTTTGGGCAGAAAGGGGATGCATCACTGGGAGGGATCCTACACATCCCCATCAGAGCTTTTTGGGATCGTGAAAACATGAGGGGCTGGTGCGTCTTGTGGGTTTTTTGGGGGTAATGCTTTCCCAGTTCCTCCCCATTCCTCCCCATCCCCCCTGTTCCTCCTTACTGGGAGGAGCACCGTGGGGGGACACAGGGTGATGGATATTTCTGCTCATAGGTGACCGAATCGCTCCAGAGCCCCGCAGCCCCCTGCCCCTTGGGGAGGAGGACCCAGGTGAAGCTTTTGACTTTGAGGACAGCGAGGAAGAGGAGGAGGAGGAAGATTCGGTGGCTGAGCCCGGCGGTGACGTGGTGCTCAGGGCACCCCCGCGCAGGCGGCGCACGGCCAGCTCTGGTGCCGGTGAGGAAGGTGGGGGTTCCCTGATGTCCCCACTGTGTCCCCTTTGGGTACCTCTGATGTTCCTGCCTTGTCCCCCTTTAGGTGTCCTCTTCTGAGTGCTCCCACCATGTCCCTTTGGGTGTCCACCATGTCCCTGATGTGTCCTTCTTTTGGGTATTCCCTTTGGGTGTCCCTGCTGTGTCCTTCTTTTAGGTATTCCCTTTGGGTGTACCCTTCGGGTGTCCCTGCTGTGTCCTCTTTGGATGCCCCCAATGTCTCTGCCATATCCCCCTTTGGGTGCCCCAGATGTGCCTGCTGTGTCCCTCTTTTGGGTGTCCCTTTGTGTTGCCCCTGCTGTGTCCCTTTGAGTTGCCCCTGCTGTGTCCCCATTTGAGTGCTCCTGATGCCCCTGCCCTGTCCCTTTGGGTGCCCCTGATGTCCCTGCTGTGTCCCTTTGGGTGCTCAGGCTGGCAAAGCTGTTTCTCTTTGCTTTTTCTCTCCACAGACGGGCTGGTGCCGGAGAGCCAGGAAGGGTACGTGGGGCTGTTGGGGGCATTTTGGGGGTTTTTAAGTCTCTCACAGGAGAAAACAGAGCTTTGGAGTTTGTCCCTCCTCATTTGACATGCCACAGCCTGGCACTGTGCCTCAGTTTCCCCAGTTTCTCCCCATTGCTCACCAAAGAGGTTGCAAGTGGGAGAGGCCCAGGGTTTTTGGGTGTACTGTGCAGCCCTGGATGATCTGGGAGGGCTCTGGTCACCACTGGGGGGGTCTGTGGGTAACTGGGTGGTGGGAACTTTCCCCAGCCTTTGGTTGAGGAACCCCCCGGGATGAGTGTTCAAAGGGGGCTGGTGTTTGGCCCAGCTGCAGATCTGGGGGGAAAAGATACACATTTGACTGCAAGGAGAGCTTGTCCCACCCTGGTTGCAGTGAGAGGGGTATAGGACCCCCTCTGGGGATGAGGACCCTCTCCCTGATGCTCGTGCATTCTCCTGCCCTACAGCAGCACGTGAACTGAGGCTAAAAAAGCCATTTTTGGGTTTTTTGCATTGTGGTCCTAAACCTCATCTGCCCTAAAATCCATGAGGAAGCAGATGACCAATGTGGTCAGGGGGACATGGATGCAAGCTTTATTTTGTGCCTGTGAACCCCTGTATTAGGAACAAGGGGTGATGGGGGGGGTGAGGGCCCTGGGTGCACTCAATCCAGGAGGATTTGCACCCCAGGATGCTCCCTGACCCCTTTACCTGCAGGCTGCCGGTGGGGATGAGCAATGGAGAAGCTGGAGGGGACCCCCACGTTGATGCCCAGACCTGGAAGAGGAAAAGCGGCCACCGAGGTGAGTTAAAATGCTGGAAAAAGACTCTAAAACTCAAACTCTGCCAAGGCTTGGGCAGGATTGGGTCCTGGGTTGATCCTCACGTGTTGACCTGAGTCCCTGGGGGGGAATTTGTCCCCTCAAAGGTGAGCGCTTCGAGTTCCCAGTGGTGGAGGACGATGTGATCTATGATGATGTCCCCTGTGAGACCCTCGATGCTGAGCAGGACGGTAGGGACAGACCTTCCCCCCCTCCCACTGTTCCCCGGGGACCACAAGCCCATTTCCCAGCCAGGCAAACTGAGGCATGCTCTGGGATGGAGCAGTTCATCCTTGGAGAGGATGTGGAGGGAAAACCACTGGGATTTGGGAGGGATCCTGAGGATTTGGGGTATCTCCTGTGAGTCCCTGGGGAGGGGAAATTGCCTTTTTGGAAGGAAAAGGAGCTGGTTTTTGTGTGGCAGGCCTGGGGCCAGAGCACAGCCTGATCTACGAGGAGGTGCAGCGTGGTGAGGGGTCGCGGCTGGGCGAAGATTTGGGCTGGAGCTCCAGCGAGTTCGAGAGCTACAGCGAGGATTCGGGCGAGGAAACCAAACCAGAGGCTGAGCCGGCCAAGCAGCGGGCATCCTTCCAGCCCAAGGTAATGCTGCAATGTTTGGGTTTTTGTGATATTATTTTCCTTTTTTTTTCTTTTTTTCTTGTTTTTTTCCCCCCTTGGGTTTGCTTGTATAAAATCACCGGAGCATCAAGCCCAGCTGCTCCTGCAGATGGCGAAGCAGAGGATGCTGCGGTTCCCAGGATCACCCACTGCAAAGCCAGCCCGAAACTTTGGGGGTTGAATTTTTCTTTTTTTTATTCTTCCTTCCCCTTTTTTTTTTCCCTCCCCTTTCCTTTCACATTTCGGCATCGCTGGAGCATGGCTGCTGCTTTTTCCCACGCTTGCTCCCTTCCCCGCTCGAGCAAAATCGGATTTTGGGAAGATGCTGCCTTGTACCGTGCTGCTTTGGGATGAATTTCTCCTCTCTTTTAACTGTTTTTGGCTGCTTACCTGGATCTCTTCTCTGCCTTCTCTCGCCTCCTTTGCCTCCTCCTCCTGCCTGGTTTGCTTTGGGCTCAGCTTTCTCCAGACCTGAATAGACTAAAGGAGAGATACGCCAGGACTAAGCGGGACATCCTGGCTTTAAGAGTTGGGGGGAGAGACATGCAGGAGCTGAAGCAGAAGTACGATTGGAAGGTACTGTCCCTCCTCCATCCCGTGTCCCCCAAATTTCCCAGGGTGGGGGTGGAAGAAACCCCTCCCAGAGTTTATCCAGCCTGAATTCATCCCGTTTTATCCCCCAGAAGAGGAACAAACCACATTAAGCACTGCCAGCCTGCCTCTCATGTCCATCTGTCTTGCAGCTCCCTGTCCTCCAGCTGCCCAAACTGTTTGCTTTTGGGTGTGTTTTTGTTTTTCAAGGGGCGTTTGGATGAAGCAAGGTCCCCCGCAGGATAGATGGATCTGAGAAGGTTTTTTTCCCCCCCGATACGGGGTGGAAATCAGGTGGGGAAGGAGATTTTTTCGGGGGGAGACGTAGAAACTCACTACAAACACTTTCCCAGCCCCAAAGCATCCAGACTGGTGCTTTATGGCCAGTTTGGGCTGGGAGGGTGAACTGGCATCAGCTTGGGCTAAAAACGCTCTGATTTGAGGTGTGAAAGGCCAACACCCCCCACCCTTCGCTCTCACGCGCGTCAAACCCCGACCATGAGGAGGGGACGGATGCACACACGCCTCCCTCCTCTGCCTCCGCTGCGCTTTCGCTGCATGCTCCCGCTTCGCCTGCTCACCCCCATCCCTGCGGAGGGAAGAGAGAGATGCTGGAGCATCGTCCTTCCTCAGCTGCATGCCTCCTCTTCCTCCCCATTGGGCTGTGCTGGAAAACGGGGACCATGCTCGGAGGGGACATCCCCAAGGGGATGGCACTGCTGCATCCGAACCCAAAACGAGGGACTATGCTCAGAGGAGATGTCCCCAGGGGGATGGCACTGCTGTATCTGGACCTGAAATGAGGTTCTGGTGCTCCCTCGAGCCTCCTGTTCCGTCTCATCCCCTTCCCCAGATGACCCAGCTGATGAAAGCAGCCAAAAGTGGTACCAAGGACGGTTTGGAGAAGACCAAGATTGCAGTGATGAGGAAGGTGACGTTCCTGCACCGGAAAGAGGCACCAGGTAAGTGGGGAAGCGCCCTACCTTGCATTTAAGAACAAAAAAAGACCTTTTTGTGTGTACTTTTAAAAAAAAACCATTATGAATCCTGATGGCTTTCAGCTTTTTCCTTTTCCTGATTTATTTTTTCTGTTTTAAGCTCTTACTTGATTATTTCCCCCTCTTTGCATCCCTGTGCAAGCTCTCTCAGTTTGGGCTTGCTCCTTGCTCTGAGCACCCATGTTCCTATGGGGGACAGCAGCCCCACCACGCCAGCACCCGTGGGTGCCCCCCTTGGACACAGGGCAAGATCTGCCTGTGAAATACCCATTTTTGGGTGTTTTCCTAACCCTCCTGCTGTCACGTAGGGGATGGGGAGCAGAGGAGGAGGGCAGCAGAGGCTGAAAAGCAGCTGCATGCCCGCCGGAGCTCGAGGGGCTCTCTGGAGCATCACGGGGGAGGTAGGATCCTGGTGGGTGGCCTCATGGCTTGGCCGGGGCTGCCTGGGGGATCTGGTGTGTGTGTCCCTGCCTTGCTGCATGTCCCTGGTGGTGTGGCTTAGTCTTTCCATGGTGGGGGCTTAAATGCTTTTGGGGGTCCCATGCTGAGCACGAGATGCTGGAGAGCATCCTGTCCTGTGCTTTGAGTGATGGAGAGCATCCCAACCCCAGGACATGGAGATGGGGGGAGAAGGAGCTTGCGGAGGCAGCAGCCAAGGGCCATGATCCTCCCTGCCAAAATTAGGGAAGGAAAAAGGTCAGCCGGCTGCCAGCACCCTCCCCTCCAGCCCGGCCGGTCCTCCCCGTTACCGGTTATTTATAGGCACCGGGTATGGGGCCGGGGTGGCCGTAGCGGGGCGTTGCGGCCATGTGGAAGAAGCGGCCGTCCCTGCATGGCAACGCCGCCTTGGCTCGCTCGCTCTCCTCCTCCTCCGCTGCTTCGGCCTCGGGTAAGGGATTGCCGTGCCGGACAGCGGGTGCTCGCCTCTTGCCTTCCCCATTTTCTGCTGTGTGCTGCTTTGGGCTCCATTTCCCCCTTTTCCCTGCTCGCACCCACCCTTCGAGTGAGAATGGGGGGGGTTCTCCTCTAACCAGGGTGGTTTTTAGGGGACAGGGACCCGTTTTGTCCCCTCCCTGCAGGGACTTGGCTGGTTCACCGCTTCCAGCCTGACTCATGCTGGTGTCCGGTGACAGTGGCCGGGGCTTGGGGAGGGACACGCGGTGTCTGGAGGACACTGAAATCCATCTCTGTTTGCAGCTCCAAACCCAAACGCATCCCAACCAAGCAGCTGAGGGAGCTGCAGGCTCTTCTTTAGACCATAAAAAGTCAAAAAATGGGGTTTTTTGGCATTTAATTGTTTTGTTTTCCTTACAGGGGACTCGGAGGAGGAGGACACAGGTTTCCTGGAGGTCACTGTCTCAGACATGAAGCACCCACCACCAGAGCTGGGCCCCATGCCTGAGGGGCTGAGCCCGCAGCAGGTCAGCGTGGGGTGGGCTGGGGGTTTCAGGGAGGTTTGGAGGGTGGACATGTCTTCCTCTTGGTCCCGTGATTGAGCAAGCGGGGAAAGAGCGAGTCAGCAGAAAGCGATGCTGCCATGTCAGCACTTCTGCTGCACGCTGTGCCCACGGTGCTCCCCCCCAATCCTGTTATCTGGGGTTTTCGGCTGAGCCCAGGTATTGTTGCAGGTGGTACGGCGGCACATCCTGGGCTCCATTGTGCAGAGCGAGCGGAGCTATGTGGACTCCCTGAAACGCATCCTGCAGGTGGGGGACCCCTTTTTTGGGGGGGTTCTGAGATAGATGCGGGGATGCAGGGATGCTGATGCACCAGTGTCCTGCACAGGATTACAGGAACCCGTTGATGGAGATGGAGCCGAAGGTGCTGAGCGCCAGGAAGTGCCAGGTGGTGTTTTTTCGTCTGAAGGAGATCCTGCAGTGCCACTCCATGTTCCAGATCGCCCTTGCTTCCCGTGTGGCTGAGTGGGACTCAGCCGAGAAGATCGGGGACCTCTTTGTAGCCTCGGTAGGAGGGAAAGTTGGGGCACTGCCAAACCTCCTCCTGGACCCCCCCTTAATGATACAAGGGGGGATTGGGAAATTTAATTGATACATCCTCAACTTGGGGTACTGCCAGCATCCTCAGCGTCACTACAAAAATAATAAACCCTAATGCTTTGCTGACCCCTCTTTTTGGGGAGCCCCATGCCATCGCAGCTCCTCTCCTGCCTTCTCCCCAGTTCTCCAAGTCAATGGTGCTGGACGTCTACAGTGACTACGTTAACAACTTCACCACCGCTATGTCCCTCATCAAGAAGGCTTGTCTCACCAAACCTGCCTTCCTCGACTTCCTCAAGGTCAGCAGGACCCAAAAGTGGGCACATGATGCTGCTCATCACTGTTATGGGTGAAAACTCCCCTTTTTTTGTTGGTTTTTTTCCCCCTGCAGAAGAGGCAGATGGCCAGCGCCGACCGGGTCACGCTCTACGGGCTGATGGTAAAGCCCATCCAGAGGTTCCCTCAGTTCATCCTGCTCCTGCAGGTACGGGCGAGGGGCACCTGCACCCACCTTCACAGTCTGGGTGCTGAGGGAAAGGGTTTAGCAAGGGACACATGTTTGGGTTGGTTGGTGACAGCTTTGGAGACCATCCCAATGATCATCTTCCAAGCTTTGATCTCGGAGTTGCCAAAAGCACTTCCAATCATAGCACCCCCAATGGGACTGATTTTCTTGGGGGATTTTTTTGTCCCCCATCCTTTCCCCCATCCCAGGACATGCTGAAAAACACCCCCAAGGGCCATGCAGACCGCCTGTCCCTCCAGCTGGCCCTCACTGAGCTGGAGACCTTGGCGGAGAAGCTCAATGAGCAGAAGCGCTTGGCTGACCAAGTCGCCGAAATCCAGCAGCTCAGCAAGAGCATCAGCGACCGCAGCAGCCTCAACAAGGTGGGTCCTTCAGCCTCTCCTCCTCCTTGTGACGGGTGGGATTTTGGAGCTGGTGGTCAAGCTTTGCGGCTTCCACTTCCCGTGTTGGGGATTTCGGGGAGCTGTGATTCTTGTTTTCGCTGAGAGGATGTTGAGCAAAAGCAAATCTCGAGGTTGGCACGGGGGGAAATCACCCTCCAGGGAAAAGCGAGGATGCGCTGCTGTCTCACCCGCCTGGTGTTGCAACCATTGGTGGAGAAAAAACAACCACGAAAAGCCCTAAATGAAACTCTTGCAACACATCCTGGGCTGGGAACAGCCATGGTGGCAAAAACCACAGCGATGCGGCCACCAGCTCAGCCCTGGGATGAGGATTTAGGGTCTGGGGATGAAGAGAGACCTGAAAGGGGCTGCAAAATGGCCAGGTTGGGCTTTGAGGGCTCTGCTCCCTTGTTGATTGGACACACAAAGTGCAAAGTATTTTGGCATCATGCAGCCTTGAAGCATGTTGCACTGCTGCCTCTGCAGAGCTCAGGGCTGTGCATGCTCCCAGCCAGAGGAAATTCCTCGCAATTAGAGAAAAGCCACCCCAATTATGGGGCAGGAGGCTTGCAAAAGCCCGCAGGCTGAGCCTTCCACCTGCTCCGTCCCCTCCACAGATGCTGAGCTCGGGGCAGCGACAGCTCCTGCTCTGCGAGACGCTGACGGAGACGGTGTACGGCGACCGGGGCCAGCTCATCAAGTCGAAGGAGCGGAAGGTTTTCCTCCTCAACGACATGCTGGTCTGCGCCAACATCAACTTCAAGTACGTCCTGATGGCCCCCAGGCCCCAAAATCACTTTGCAAAGCACTGGCATAGCAACCTTCCCTGCCTTGATTTTGGACTTGGTGCGTTTTGTTAGCTCTACCCCCAAGGGCTTTTAAAACCACCTCACCTTGTTTTGGAGGAGGAAACCGACTGGTCTGGGGTTGCTTTACCACCCACTTTTGGCATGCTTCCATGCAAAGCCTCTACCCCCTGGTGCTGTGGGGTCTCTGAGTTTGTGTGGGGTACTGGAGCCTGCTGGGACCCCAGGACTTGGTGGAGGTTGATGATGGAAAGGGGAATACCCTCCTTGAGCCTCCCCATAACACCTATTTATTAATCATTTTTCCCCTTTTCCAGGCCGGTGAACATAGGGTAGGTGCCCAGCATGGTCTGGTGTGGTTGTGTGCCCCACATTTGGGGGTGTAGGCATGCACCAGTGCATGGTGTGGGGTTGCAAATAGGGCTTGGTTTGCAAAAATGCATCTCCCAAGGGCTTGCAGGGCAAGCCACAATGCCTGCTGATTTATTTACGTGTATTTTTTTGCATCCTCCCTTGGCAGAGGCCAGCTGGAAATTAGCAGTCTGGTGCCCCTGGGTCCCAAATACGTGGTGAAGTGGAGCACGGCCCTCCCGCAGGTGCAGGTGGTGGAGGTTGGGCAGGAGAGCGGTGCCTATGACAAAGACAACGTGGTCATCCACAACGCTGGCTCCAAGAAGCATGCACCGGCCGGGCAGGCTTCGCACAGTGAGCACCTGTTCCCTGAGCCCCCATTGGGCTGGTTTTGGTGGGGTGGGATGGAGCATCCTCCACGGACTTCATTTCTCCATTTTTCCACCCAAGATAAAGTCTACCTGGGGCCACCGCGGCTCTTCCAGGAGCTGCAGGACCTGCAGAAGGACCTGGCAGTGGTGGAGCAGATCACCCTTCTCATCAGCACCTTGCATGGCACCTACCAGGTACCTTCATGCCAGAGCACAGAGGCAAAGTCATGATTTGGGTAGAACCAAGCTTTGCAATGACCACGTGGTTCCTTGGGGACACCTTATCCCCCTGCAGAGCCCCACGGATAAAATTTGGGGATGATTTAGGCTTGTTTTGGAGACACTTCCATGATTTATCACTTTCCCTCTTCCCCCATTCAGAATCTGAACATGACAGTGGCCCAAGACTGGTGCTTGGCCCTGCAGAGGATGATGAAGGTGAAGGAGGAGGAGATCCACTCTGCCAACAAGTGCCGCCTCCGCCTTCTGCTGCCCGGGAAGCCGGACAAGTGAGTTTGCAGATCACAGGTGGGCTCTTCCCACCCCAGGGAGGAGGAGGAGGTTGAAGACCAACCTGGTGATGCTTTCCCTGTGCAGGTCCGGCCGCCCCATCAGCGTCATGGTGGTCTTCATCACTCCAAACCCCCTGAGCAAGATCTCCTGGGTGAACCGCCTGCACTTGGCCAAGATAGGACTGCGTGAGTAGCCCCATGAAGCATTGCTTGCCGTTACCCTTGCTTTGAAAAGCCAAATTTGGAAGTGGGGTGGGAGGTTTATATCGCTCCAAGCTTCCTGATGTGAAACAGGGCAGGAGAAGAAATTCAGAGCAAGGCCATGGAGAACATTTTGGGGGTTTGCACACTGGAAATACTGGGAATTGGTAATTCTGGCTCAAAATGCTTTGTGTTTTGCTGCTCTTGGGTGGCATCTCTGGGTCAGTGTTGTGTTGATGCTGGGTTTCTGTTGGTTCTTGTGCTGATGGTGTCGGGGCTGACCCCTTTTCTGTGAAATGGATGAACAAGTGAGGGAGGAGCTGCCCCTCCTGCTGCTTCCCTGTTCCTATTCCTATTTAACTCCACCAGCCACTGCAGCAAACAAAAAAACTTTAATGGAAGAAAGAAAAAAAATCATTTGAAATCCTATTTGAGTGCTCAGATCCCCCTGGGCTGCAACGATTTTTGATTCTCTTGTTTTTAACAGTTTATGTGTTTTTGTTTTTTGTTTTATTTTGTTGTTTTTTAATCGGGGATGCCTGGGGGATAATCCTGTACCCATGAGTTAGAAATGAAAACACGTTAAAGCTTAATGTGAAGAAACACATTAGGCTGTATTTTTTCCCCCTTTATATTTATATTGTTTGGCTTTTGGGCCTTTTTTTTTTTTTGCTGCTGCTCATGGCAGCTCCTTGGCTGTGTGCAGCAGTGGGGTGCAATAGTTTGAAGGAAAGGGGTGAGATGTACCCCAGGTCTGCAGATGATGGTGATTTGGGCTTGGAGATGAGCCCTGCACCCCAAATTACTAATTTTGGGGAGGGAGAGATGCTGGGGGGTGTCTCAGATGTCGTCAATCTCCTGTCTTGTTGCAGGGGAGGAGAACCAGCCAGGCTGGCTCTGTCCTGACGAAGACAAGAAGAGCAAAGCTCCCTTCTGGTGCCCCATCCTGTCCTGCCACATGCCTGCCTTCTCCTCCAAGGCCCTCGACCTGCAGGTGAGAGTGATGGCCAAACTCTTCTCCAATCCCCCCCCAATACCCCCTTCCTCTTTACACCCATCTTTTTTGGGGAATTAAAGGCAGAAATCCTATGGTGGGGTGGGCTGGATGGGGTGAACAAAGCAGAAATTCATGCAATCCATCCTGGAAAATTGAAAATACAAGATGGGCTTTGGATGAATCCTGATTTTTGGGGCATGCACCAATACCTTGCACATGTTGGGGTAATTTTGGGATGTTATGACCCCCCCCTTTACCCTGGTCTCTCCCCCAGCTCGGCGCCGCGGTGCACAACCCCGTGCAGTCCTCACTGCTGGGCTTCTCCGCTGTCAGCACTTCGCTGCCTCAGGGCTACCTCTGGGTGAGCAAAACTACCCCAAAACGGGGCAAAACGCATGGGGTTTGGGTCACGCTGCCTGCAAACCCCCTCTCCAGTGCTCGTGGCTGGTACTCACACCCATTTGCGGTCCCTGCAGGTTGGAGGGGGCCAGGAAGGTGCAGGGGGGCAGGTGGAGATCTTCTCCCTCAACCGTGCCGTGCCGCGGACGGTGAAGTCCTTCCCGGTGGCGTCGCCGGTGCTGTGCATGGAGTACATCCCTGAGGAAGGCGAGGGGGACTCAACGGGCTCCCAGGACCCCCGACCGACCACTGAACAGCTCCCCACATCCCCCCATCCCACCGTGTGCTTGGGCTTGCAGGACGGCAGGTGAGCCCCCCATCTCCATTCATCGGTGCCATCACCAGCACCAAACTTTGAGGACCACCACCGCCATCTCCTGCATCTCCTCCCCCTTCCTTCCTTCCCCAGCATCGTGGTGTACGGCAGCGTGGACACGGGGACACAGTGCTTGCTGACCTGCAAAAGCCCCGGCATGCAGCCCGTCCTCTGCTTGAAGCACAGCACTGAGTACCTCTTTGCAGGGCTGCAGGATGGGACCGTGGCCGCCTACCCCAGGAGCAACGGTGAGGCCCCCCCCGTGCACACTTTGGGGTGAGACACCCTAAAAAAACCACGGAGTGAGAGGTGCTGGCTGATAAAATGGTGATAAATCTCCATTTTTTGTTTATTTTTCTCCCCCCCCCATTTCATTTTTCCCCTTGCAGCCCAAAATGCTATTTTCCTTTGCCAGGATGGATGCAAGAGGGGCTGGTTTTGGGGCAAAAAGTGTGGAAAACAGTCCTGGCAAGGGATTGATACAAAGGGTTTGCTTGGGGACTGCGGGAAGTGTCCAAGGCTGGGCTGCACCAGGGCCCCTTAGAGCTTTTGGCTTCAAAAAAAGCCACCTTTTTGGTGTTATATCCCCTCCAAGCCCCATCCATGCAAAAACCTTCTCCTTCATTATCATGATTTTGGAGTTTATTTTCCTTGGCTACAGTTTGCCAAGAGCCTTCCTCCCTGGGGACTCCTTGCCTGGGCTGTTAAATACCTTTGATTCATCGCTAGAGGGTAGGAAAGAGCCTCAAATAACTTGCAGCCTTGGCCTATTTTTGGACAAAACCCCTCATTTGCTCTGAGATAACCTGCAGAGAGCAGCACCCAAGTCAACCCAGAGCCAGTAAAGCCACTTAAATTCCATTTTAGGGTGCTGCACGTCCCCTTTTTTTATCTTACAGCAACCCTGCAAGCCAATTGATAACATGGTTTTAATTTAATTTCCATTGCATAAATGCACGTCGAAGGTTGGAAGCTGCTGGCAGGGCTGCGGGGTGGGGTTTTTAATCTTATCCCTATCTTTTTGGAAGGAAAAAGCTTTCCTGAAATAGCTCTGTTTTCACGGGAAAATGAGGATTTGCTGAAAGGCAGCTCGGTTGCAAACTCCTGCCAATGGGTGCAGAGGTCCGAGTGCCCAAAGGACTCTTTTATCGCTTGGATCTTACAGTTTTATTTAAAAAAAAAATGCTTTGGAATTAATAAAAGGAGAGCAATTACTTATTGAAGCTGCTCGGCCACCGCTGGTGGCGAATTTATAAGGATCCAGGTTGGATGAGGCTCACAGGGACACTCCAGATCGGCCCTGGATGAATCGGCTCTGGAGTGGCACTTCAAAAGCAAAGAAAATTTAAAAAAAAACCTTAGGATTTTTGGCTTTTCTAACGAGGAACGTGCCTGAGTGATGCAGGTGGCCGGTTGTTTGCTGCTAAAAAGCTGTTTGTGTGGGGGCAAACAGGTTTGGTTGGGGGGTTGAAGTTGGGGGTGTGAGCTCCCTTCTTATCCTTTTGGCTGCAGCATTAGGATGCTCGGAGGCATCAGAGGTGACACGAGGGGTTTGCAGTTGACCCCAGCACCCACTCGGTGGTTTCAGCGGCATCAAAAGAGGTTGTTTTTTTTTCTTTTTGCTGAGCATCTTTTTGCCCCTTTTTGCACCTAGGGGGGCTGTGGGATGCGGCAGAGCAGCCCACCCGCCTGGCTGTGGGGACTGGCCCTGTGCGAGCCCTCCTGACGCTGGATGAGACCCTCTGGGCCAGCTGCGTCAACCACGTCACCGTCCTCGATGCCAGCAGCCTCCACACCCAGGTAGGGAGCATTGCCGGGACATGGTGGTGGCTTTTGGGGGCGTTACAGTGGTTTGAGCCCCAGAGGATGCACAACCCTGCCTGTGCAATGCCCAAAATAACCCTTTTTTGCCACTTTTCATCACTTTTGGGTCCCTGTCCTCTGCCATCGGGTCCCACCGGGACATCTGCAGCTGCATAAACAGGAGGTGCTGAATAGTTCCTTGTTTTGCTAAAAAAAACCAAACCCTTTTCTCCCACCTTTAATTTTCACATTTACTGCCCAAACTTAGTTTGCATGTATTAGCTGTCATAAATCCAGCCTAACGGCAGTGCCGGGGATGAATAATGCATCGGGGACTGGATTCGTTTTCAGGCTCCAATTTTATTTATGACAGGAGCTGGGTGGGAATTTCCACAGAAGAAAAGGGACAAGGGAGGGGAAAAAAAAACCAGAGGGGAGGATACTGGGGGATGGTGGAAATGGTATTTGATGGAGAGAGGTGTAATGGGGTCTGGGGGCTGCCTGGATGGGGATGGCCATTTGGGAATAAATCAGGGAATAAATCCCCTGTGGGCAGGGGAATAAGGAGGAGACCACCTAAAAGTCTCTATCTACCTTTATTTTGTGGAAGGTTTTTGGGGGGATGCTCTATGCTGGTCCTCGCTGATGCTCTTCCTTTTTTTTATATATAAATCAAATTTTGCAGTTTAAAAAAAAAAAGAAAAGATTTCAAAACTATTGGAGAAATGAAGGAGAAGTTGCTGTGTGCAGGTTTCTCCCCCAGTGATTTAATCCTTCAATACTAATATGCATTTTTATTTTTTGAAATTTGCAGCAGGGGCAATTTTTGATGCAAAAAGCTGGTTCTCCTGCAGTTTGCATCCCATGTCTGATAGGGAAGTGCTCCAAGAGGGAGCTTGGGAAGCAGATGGATTGGTCCGTGGTCCCCAAATAGCTCTTGCAGGGCGGCTGAGCCTTTAATTGCTGGTTTTTAGGGTAGGAGAGAGGCAGAAAGGTCTCGTCCCATCTTGCGATGGATTTTGCAGTTGCACCTCATCTGGCAAATGGGACTTTTAAGGAAGAAATAAACCTGGAGGGGTGGGAAAGGCTGTGTTATCAAAAAAAACCCAGAGAGGTTTGGTGAGGGGTTGGTTTCAATGTCCTCTGCCCAAGCTGGAGCTGGCCTCAAGGTCACTCTGGTCCCCTCCTCATGCAGCTTGGCAGCTCTAAAGCAGCTCTGAGCTAGCATCGGCTTTAGGGAATTTTGGTGTTAATTTCCTGTTTGCAATTCCCCTTTGGGCAGCAAACCTTCGAGGCCCACCCGGACGCGGAGGCCAGCGTCACGCACATGATCAAGGCGGGCAGCGGCGTCTGGATGGCCTTTTCCTCGGGCTCCTCCATCCGCCTCTTCCATACTGAGACGCTGGAGCATCTGCAGGAGATCAACATCGCCACCAAGACAACCTTCGTCCTGCCGGGTGAGCTCCCCTTGCCCCTGGCTCTTAATTGCAATTAATGGGCAAGTTGGAGCATCGTGCTATCGATGTGTTGTTTTGCGTTATGGCCGTAATGGTTGGCAGAGAAACTGGGCAAGGAATTGAGCTGGTTAATGGTGGAGAGGTTTGAGCTTGGACCTCTAGGGTCTCTTGTCGTTGATGGAGCTGGTGGCATCTTTGCACCTGTGCGTGCATCCATGCATGGCATCTTTGCAGCTCTGCTCCTGTGCATCCACCTTATCCATGCACCCCACCCTTGCATCCATCTTTGCCCCTGTGCTTGCATCCACACATCCCATCTTTGCACCTCTGTGCACCCCATTTGTGCACCTTATGCTTGCATTATCTGCGTGCTTCCATGCACCCCATCCTTGCACCTGTGTGCATCCTTTCCATGCACCCGTGCATCCCACTTCACACCCATCCATGCACCCTTGCACCTGTACATACATCCACCCCACTGCCATTGCCCAGTGAACCCAGTTTCCCCCAGTTCCCCCCCCAGTGCCATCTCCCAGCCATGCCTACCCACCCAGCCCTTATTCACCCTGCGCTTGCAAGGTTGTCTCCTGCCTTGTTCCAGCTACAGGGCGACATAATTGCGTAATTAGTTATAAGCACGATACTCATGTAAGTCGCTTTTCCCTTTTTTTTAGGGCATGTTAAAATATTTATCACTTCCTTTTCTTCCCGCGCGAGTGAGCGTTGGGCACTAATGCGTTTTTGAACTCGCGCTCCCTCATCCTTTTTAACTCGACAGGTCATTAATAAAGTCCTCCCGGAGAAACTGAAGTTGCATCTCCACAGATATATTGCTTCAGCGAGTCCGACGCCACGCAGCGCTAAGTCCTGGCGATAAAATATTCATTTGCCATTAGAAGTCTCACTTTTTTCTATTTTTTTTTTCTGCCTTTTTCCTGCTCCTCTTTTTATTTATTTATATTTGTAGCACTCTCCCTGGCATGGAGACATTTGTACAAAGATGCTGCTGGGTTTTGGGGGGGGGGCCTCTGGGGTGCGTTTCCCAGGAAAAAGCCACTGGTGATGGGTTATTTGGGAAGGTGCTGCTGCAGAATCATCCCTCGATGGTTTTTTGACCTCAGCCTTTTATTTTTCCCCTCCTGCAGGTCAAAAACACGTCCGTGTCACCAGCCTCCTCATCTGCCAGGGTTCGCTCTGGGTGGGCACCGACCAGGGTATCATTGTGCTGCTGCCCGTGCCCCGCTTGGAGGGCATCCCCAAAATCACTGGTGAGCACCCCAAAAATCCCCTCCCTACGTGGATACAACCTTATTTTGGGGCTCGTTTTTAGCAAAACCCCTGTTTATTTTGCCAGGAAAAGGCATGGTGTCCCTCAACGGGCACGGCGGCCCCGTGGAGTTTTTGGCGGTGGCGTTGAGCACCCTGGCCCCCGATGTGCTAAAGGGCGACCAGGAGGAGGAAGAAGAGGGTGAAGAAGAGAAACCCCCTGACCTGGATGGTCCCCCGCCTCGGGAAATGCGAAAAAAAGGGATTTTATTACAATATCGCCTTCGTTCCACCTCCCACCTCCCCGGGCAGCTGCTGTCAGTGCGGGAGGCGCCGATCGGGGGTGCGCCGGCGCACACCGAGGAGGACGGCTCCATCTACGAGATGGCCGATGACCCCGACGTTTGGGTACGGAGCCGCCCTTGCTCCCGGGACACCCCCCGCAAGGAGATCTCCTCGGTGGCCATCATTTCGGGGGGTAGAGGGTACCGG